TGGATCTCGCTCTGTAGACCAGGCTGGCCTTGAACTCACAAAGATCAGCCTGACTGCCTCTCAAGTGCTGGAATTAAAGGCCTGTGCCACCACTGCCCAGCCAAGGAATTTCTTGTAGCATGCTTGTCCTCAGCAGTCACTTCCCTATGACTTACTCATCCAGCCCCTTCTTGTGTTCTGGGGCAGCCACAGGTGCCAATACACTGCCTGACCAGGTAACATCATTTAGAGGTGGCATTCTAAAATGTTTCTGCCTTTTCTCCTTTATGAGTATTTTATTAAAACAATTGTCAGGGCTACTGTTTTATTGATTTTGTCTTGTTTGAGGTTCTACAGATCCACCCCAGATCCTCACACATGATAGACAAAATGCTGTCCCACTGAGCTGGAATCCACCCAACACCCCTTCTTTTGGGTAGAAAAGGCTAACATAACAGCAATGTTTAGATTAAGTTAATAGTTAACACTCTAGGCTTCACTTGGAGAATGGAGAGAAGCAAGTGGATTTCTTTTACTTTTTAAAAAATGTATATGAGGGGGTGGACATGAACCTGCTACTTCTCGTGTGTGAAGCAACTTTTAAGAGTTACTTTTCTCCTTCCGACTTGTGGGTTCCATGGGTCAAACTCAAGACATGGGGCTTGGCACTCAGTGCCTTTACCTGCTGAGCCATCTCTCTGATCTTTTCTTTCTTTTTAGACACAACCTCATGTATCCTAAGTGGGGTTCTAATTCCCTGTGTAGCCAAGGATAACTGAACTTCTTGTCCTCCTGTATGACCTCTGCATGCTGGCATTACAGGCCTGTACCAGCCATATTCAGTTGGGCTTTTTCTTGCTTTAATGTGATGTTGGGGTTCAAACCGAGGGCTCTGTATGTGCTAGACAAGCACTCTACCAACTGAACTACATTTCCAAGCCTCAGGTGGTTTTACTTTTTAAAGATTTATTTTATTTTGTATTTATGTGTATGCATGTGTGTCTGTGTGTGGTTATGTGCACATAAGTACAAGTGCCTGGGAGGCAGGGACAGGGTGTCAGATCCCCTGGAGCTGGAGTTATAGGTGTCTGTGAGCTGCCTGACGTGAGTTCTGGGAAGGGAACTCAAGGTCTCTGGAAGAGCAGCAAGTGCCTTTAATTGCTAAGGCATCTCTCCAGCCCTGCAGGTGGCTTATTATAAGGAAGTGGATTTATCTGAATCTTTATTACTTCAGATCTTCCTTTTCCTGGTACAGTAGCAGGAGAAAGTTATGTGCAGAAAAACTCAGCACTTCCAGGAGTGGCCTTGGGAGGACAAGATGATGGGCTATGGCCTAGGCTCCATTTTCTATGCTTGATTAGATCTGTTACCACGGAGCTCTAGCCCTCCTGAAGAAGGAGATGTCACGTTTCAGCCCCAGGAAACCACACTATGGTTGCTTACCATTTTCCATATGTCCTGACCCATGGCTGCCCTGCTCCTAAGGCTACTGCATGAGAACAAGTAAATTCATAAAAATGAATGTTTGCATTAAGACAAAGTTGGTATCACCTGACCACTCAGCCTCCTAGACCTGTCTCCTGTCTGCACTCACTTGGTGGGGCCTCAAGAATGCCTCCTTCAGGTCTGTGATCCCATTCCAGGAACAGCACACCTCCCCCACCTCTCTGCTAGCCAGGGTATCATTGATTTGTGGAAGCGAGGTAGATGCCGGG